ATATATATATTTATATTTATATAAAAAGACCAATAATAGCAGTATGTTATGCATCAACAGCAGCAACAGCTTCTCCAGGTTCTACAGTCATCTGAACAAAATTGTAGACATTCAGCACATTCCATTAAAAAACAAAAACAAAAAAACAAATGAATAATATCCAGATAACAGCAAAGTTCTGTTGCTGTTGTGGTACCTGGCACCATTTTTTTTTATTAGCATCTTAATCATCCTCTGGAAAGAGAACATTCTAGAGTAATATCTTTAAAAATAGCTCTTATAAAGCATGGTCACTACTACGTATCCTAAAGCAGGTACAAGATATTTTACATTCACAGAGGTATGATACAGTACTGTCCTACATCAATAATACTAGAATCAGTTTTGGTTTGAAATTTGCTTTGTCTGCAAATAAGATTGCTACCCCTGCTTTTTTCTGGGCTCTTGTCCCATGGAGAATTGTTTTCCATCCTTTCACTTTCAGTCTATGGGCTTCTTTTTGCACTAGGTGTGCCTCTTGTATACAACATATTGTTGGATTTTGCTTCTTATTCCATTTTGCCAGTCTATTTCTCTTGATTGGTGAATTGAGGCCACTGACATTGCTGGTTATAACTGATATGTACTGACTTATTATTGTCAGTTTGTTGACTCTTTTTACTTTTTCACCTTCTTTTAGTTTCTTGCCTTGCCTATTTGATTTGTTCTGTTGGGCCTCATGGTGTTGTTGCCTTCATTGTCTTTTTCTAGGATATTGTTTAGAATTGCTTGTAGTGCTGGTTTGGTATTCATGTAGTTTCTCAGGTGTTCTTTGTCGTGCAAGTATCTTATTTCCCCATCCATTTTGAAAGAGAGTTTTGCTGGATACGTCAGTCTAGGTTGGAGGTTGTTCTCTTTTACTACTTGAAATATCTCACTTCAGGCTCTCCTTGCCCTAAGGGTTTGTGTTGAAAAGTCTGCTGTGATTCTGATGGGCTTTCCTTTGCATGTGATTTGTTTCTTTTCTCTTACTGCTTGTAGTATTTTGTTCTTCTGCTGGGTTTCTGGGATCTTGATTATTATATGTCTAGGTGTAGATTTTTTTTTTTATTGTGGCTAGTTGGGGTCCTATATGCCTCACTTATCTGTATGTCAAATTCTTCCCCCCTGTTTGGGAAGTTTTCTGTCATTAATTCTGTGAACAGCTTTTTAAAGTCATTTATATTTTCTCCTGCTACTTCATGGATTCCTATCAGTCTTATGTTATTCTTCTTTGCATCATCTAGGAGTTGTTGGATCGATTTCTCATGATCCCCTACTGTTTTTAAGAGACCTCTCTTTTCATGGTCACTGACTGCAATCTTATCTTCTATATCTGAGAGTCTATCTTCGCATGCCTTTATTCTGTTGCGTACACTTTCAATGGAGTGTTTAATCTCCTGGATATCTGTTTGAATCTGTTTTATGGATTCCATTTCTTTCCTATGTTGGGCATTTATTTTTTCCATTTCTTTCTTATGCTGGGCCTTCATGACTTCTATCGTGGTCCTGAGCTCATCTATTTTTTTGTCAGTTTCTGCTCTAGAGTCTCGAATCACGACTTCCATTTTGCTCACCATCTCTATGGTTATCTGGGAAATTATTTCTGTTTTGAATTTTTCTAGAGCCTGATTAATGTGTTTTGTTATTTCCTGTGCTTTGCGTTCAGGGTGTCCTGGTGGTTCACTATTGGCCTTTTCATCCTCATTTGCCCTACTGTTTGCCATTGGTGAACTGGAAGTCTGTCTTTGTGTCTTGCTTAAGTGTTTTCTCATTTTTATTTTTGTTGTGCTGTCCTTGGTTTAATCTCTGGGTTATCACCCAAATCTTCCTGATATAGTTGTGCTCTAGCTTCTGGGTCTCTAATGACCCACAGACATTCTCATCTTCATAACATCAGAGAAAACAGCTCATCAAATCAACCACAATCCTTTATCCCAACTGATACAATCAGTAACACAATATGATCAAGCACAACTTGGAAACTGACTACCACAGGTAGTCACTAGTCCATCACCCTTAAACCATTTGAATTAAATTGAAATCAAGAAGCAGTCCAGAACATGTCTGCAGTGAACAAACTTTTCAATATAGTATATTTACCATTTAATGACTCAGGCAGAGCTAGGACACAAGACCCCTGATCTCAGTTAGCTGATGGCTGAACCCCAGGATGCAGACTGACCTCGGGCTGCAAGGCCCAGATTGAGTTCCCCAGCCTTCTGAATGGTTGAACTCCACACCGTTGTACTACAGGTTTCCCACTCCCTTTCTTTAAAGATGTTCAAAATTGGGAACTCAGAAAAATACCCTTGATGACCACCTCTGCCTCTGCAGAGTGGATCCAAAGACTGGCACAATTAGGAGGTCTGACAGTGTGCGTGGGGGTGGGGGGTAAGGGGAGTTATAGGGGTTCAGGGGCACCCGAGCGGCTACCTTCCTGGCGCTGGAGCGATGGTGTCTCCGGGCGGGAGAAGGCATGGCTCCTCACTGGAGTAATTTTTAATTTGATCACGAGCAGTAAGCATTTAACTCTGCCGGAAGCACTCAGAAGCAGCTAGTTGAGGATTGCTATGTTTCCACTTTTCCAGCACAGTCTTTGTTCCAGTTTCTGGTTACGAAATGCATATATTGAACTATTTGTGTTTATGTGCCAGGGTTGTGCTCTGTTTTGGCATAGGCTAAGGTTATTTAGGGTCCCCTTCACTTTGATGGTCATGGTTCTACTATGAATCCACTTTAATACTATTTTGTTTTGAAATCAGGATTTTGGCAATAAGCCAAATTTGACTCTTTCTCTTAAGCATGAAGTTGAGGTTTTTAAATGCAGTTTGTTTTTCTGGCTTCCCTTCTGTCTTTCTCATAGTACATCGTAGCTCCACACAGAGCCAGTTTCTCACCTACTTTCTTCCTTCCTTTTTTCCTTCCTCTGTCTCCGCTCTTTCTTTCCTAATGTATATCTGAATATGTTTTATCTCTTTGTGCTTTTGTAAGATACACATTATCAATCGAGGCCCATATTTTTAACGCACACAAGTATTTCGGGGTTATATATTTTCTGTTTCTGTTTTCACTGACACTAGACTTTCAAGACCCATCGCATTGCAGTTGGCACACGTGGTATGGTCCATGCTCCTTCTTTATTCACCTTTTGTTTCATCAGTACTTATTCAAATGATGCCAAGCACACATTTTGAAAAGATGCTATTGTATACCTGGGGAAGGCCACTTTGAAAGAGTCACTACGCAAGTCCTTATCACTGGAGCCATGTGAAAGGAAACTTTAGAGCTTTTTCCAGCTTCTGGGTTTCCCTCTGACCTTAACAGAGTAGCTTTGCTTCACTTATGCCTCTTTCTTCACTGTTAAAACAGAGAAGATTACTTTCATTTCCAGTTGGCAAGAATATTGCCAGAATTAATAACATGATAAAAAGAAATCTGGACTTTAGAGTCTGTTGATGTTGGAATTTATTTTTCATTTCAAGTATAAGTTTAGTAGTAAAATTTACATGAAAATTATTTATCCCTATAGGCAAGTATTGAAACAAAACCTCTTGATGTGTGCCAGTGGTTGGATTGTGGGGAAACTATTTCTTTTAGTTAATTTATTGCTTTTTTTGTTGTTGTTATTGTTTTGAGACAGGGTCTCACGATGTAGTTGAGACTGACCTGGAACTCACTATGTAGCCCAGTCTGGTGTCGAACTTACAACAATCCTCCTGCCTCAGCCTCCCGAGTGCTGGGATTACAGGTGTGTGCCACCACACCCGTCTTAGTTAATTTATTGCTTTTAAATATACATCTTGTACTTCATTTTGCCAAATTAAATAATTAGGTAATCCAGTCTTTGTCCCAGGTGAGCGATCCTCTTTTCTGACGTGAGTTCCAAATTTTGGCTGAGGGAAATGAAAGTGCTTTTCTTCACTTGTAAGACTAGGTTGGAGGGCTTGCTATATTTCCAGGGTCACACTGTGAACACTTATCATGAACATAGTTCTTATGTTCTCTTAGGGGATTAAAAATATTTTCAAGCAGAAAGCAGAATTTTTCAAATATTTTTGAGTAGTAGGACTACTAATGGGATAGCCTTGTCCCTGCTAATTTCCCTGTCTCTTATCTTAGGCACTAAAGTTACAGCAAAGAGGTGGTATGCTGGTAGCATATTTTATGATTATGGTTTATATCTGTTAATGGAGGATTACTTTGTTGAGATTGGGCTATTTGCAGGTTCTTTAACTTTTATCTCCTTTTATAATCTCCTTAGGAGCAGACTTCACAGAAGTTGGTATTTTTTTTCCAATAAATTCTGAGGCGTAGGAAATTCCACTGTGTGGAATCAGGGATGACTGTGCTCTAAATATGATGTTTTACACAAATAGAACTTTTATCAAAATCTTCATTTTTTAATGCTTTGAAAAATACTGTACTTAGCTACTACTAATTCTTTATCTTCCTGAATATCTCTGGAAAGGTAAGGAAGGCAAAGCTGAACTCAGCCTTTTGGGAACATCACCTATTATAGATATGAGAAATACCCATTTTTTTATCCTGTCAGTACTTTTGGAGCCTAGGTGTCCATAGTCGGAAGGAGTTCTGTGTGTCTGTGTCTTCAGACAGGCAGGAGCCCTTGGGTAGCTCAATCTGGGCTTCCAGAAGTCTAAGGATCTCTGAAAGCAGCCTGCACAGGCTGCCAGAAGCTACGTTCGATCCACGAGGATGTTTTCTGTTTTGTTTTTCTTCTTTTTTGGTTCTGTTTGAAGTTATATTTCTTTATTATTGTTCCCCTGTCTTCTCATGAAAAAAATAATAATCACTCCTTGTGGATTTTGAAACATTTCTTGAAGAGCTGCGGCAGGGTCTGTCTTGACTTTGTGTTCTGGGTGGGGCTTGCTTTTGCATGCTACACTGATCGGAGAAGCGTGAGTCTGTGTTTCGCTCGGTTTTAAGTTTTGGTCTCAGTGAAGTGTGTTCTCCCCTCGGGGCCTCCAGGGGCCAACGTGAATGCAGCAAAACTTCACGAGACAGCACTTCATCACGCAGCCAAGGTGAAGAACGTCGACCTCATTGAGATGCTCATTGAATTTGGGGGCAACATCTACGCCCGCGACAACCGGGGGAAGAAGCCGGCTGATTACACGTGGAGCAGCAGCGCCCCCGCCAAGTGCTTCGAGTACTATGAAAGTGAGCTTGGCCTGCAGATACTCTGCCGGGCTGCCGGGCACCTTCGTCCTTCAGCCAGGCCCCCTGGTTTGCTAGTTCTTCCCGAGTTTCTGATGACAGCTTGGCGTTTAGTCCCCGGGGTCCTGTCTCTTTCCTGAGATGTTCATTCCAGCGCTTTGTTTATAGGAGCTGTTTCACGCAGATCTCCAGTTTTGGGGTTTCCCGTGGCCTGAGGTATCATGGGTGAGAATGGAGGAGCAGCAGGAGCCAGCTGCTAGCATCTTGCTCTGGCGCACGTTTGGCTGGAAGAGCCTTATTAACTGCAGAGTAGTTTTTGGCTGACAAACCTGTGTGCCGAATAATAACACTATGGCTCAAAAAACAAAACCCCCCAAAATCCCACCAAAGCAGAAAAAAACCAAATGCCCTCCCTTAGGCTGAACATTCACCGTATGGAATCTGTGGCTGCTGCCTGAGTCGTCCTTCCTCAGTCCTTGGCCACCCTTCTGCCACCTTCTGGAGGAGGCGTGCCAATGCATCTTAACTGTAGAGCAAGGGGGTGACGCTTTCCTATTGCATCTTAGTTCAGTTAGGTTGTAGGATGTACAACTTCCTGTAACTCCTCTAACCTCACGGACTTCCTTTTTCTCTTCTTCCAGAGACACCTCTGACCTTGTCACAGCTCTGCAGGGTAAGCCTGAGGAAGGCCACCGGTGTTCGAGGCCTGGAGAAAATTGCCAAGTTAAACATCCCTCCCCGGCTCATCAATTACCTTTCCTACAACTGAGCTGCGGGCAGGCAGCCCAGTGGACTGGCCACCAGCCTGGCTGCTGCCCTTGTTGCTCCCAGCCTTGGCTGCGGTGGGTCCTGACTGTCTGAAATGCTGTTGTTACTATAGATAGAACAGTGCTCCTTTGAGTCTCTTTTGGTTGTCCCCTTTGTTTTTTTCTTGTGAATTCTGGATAAGAGCTCCAAAGCCTCAGCGCGGCCAGCATTTCGGGTCACAGTCATGGGTGTGATCCCCTGCTGGCTCTCCAGAAAGGGTGTTTTCACTATGGGATGGGCCACCTGTCCAGGTTTCCTTTTTTCATTGACCTCCCTCAGAGCTTCTCTCAGGACAGATGACAAAGACCACGGGGCTGGGGACTTATGGCACTGCTGTTGATGTTCATGTCTGGGTATCATGGCACAGAAGCACCAGGTCCCAGGCTCCTCACCCTGTACCTGGGGCATTCACTCATCTGACATTATCTTGCCACCTGGATGCTCTTTCTGGGCAGCATTTGATACTTTCTGAGGTCTGCTTGTGCCCAGGCATATCCATTACTCAGGGATCTCAGTGGGGGAAGACGAAGGCTTTGTGTCCCCACGAATAATAGTGTTTCTTAAGAAGTTTGCCTTCAGCGTTAGGTCTCGACTCTTGGAATGCTGATGTAGGATAAAGAAACTTTAGAAGGTGTAGGGAAAGTGGGACGCATAGGGGAAAGGTAATAAGGGAAAGAAAAAAATAGGAGAAAATGAAAAAATGGAAATAAAGTGTTTGTAAATGGGGAGGGGAGGAGGGGGTGAAGGGAGGACAGGGGAATGGGGAAAAATGAGAACCAAGACCTGTCATGTAAAGGTGCAAGACCCCAATGATGAATGGAACTGTACTGTGTTCCTAAAATGTACCAATAAACTCAATGAGGAAAAAAAAAGAACCTTTAGAAGATGAAGAGGCTACAACACTAAGGGTTTGCTAAATGAGCCATACAGACAATAGGTAATGTGAAGGCCGTTTCCCTGTATTTTTGAAGGTAGTCATTTCCACGTGAAGGGCTGTGAGAGGACTGTTTAGAGATTGTTTTGTCTCTGTTTCTGTAGTTACCAAATAAAATTTTCCCACATCCTGTTTTTGCTGACTCCTCTAAGCTGTGAAACTAGTCGGAGATGTTGTCAGCGCCTGACAGAGGCTAGCACCTGTGTATTATTCCTCTTTCAGGTGCTAATGGAACCTCTAGTGTGCAAGGTGAAGATCCAGGGATTTGAACTGATAAGAATGGGACGTATCAGCCAGGGCAAGAAAAGAAAATGTTTTGCAGTCTTTTCTGATAGTAATAAAAACAAATCCTTCTATGTTATAAGCCAGGAGCTGAAATATTAGTGTATTCAGGTGACATTTGCCTAACATTCTGTATTTTAATTTTTTAAAATCCACAGATAGCAGGGAGAACCAGAGGATTTGGCTTATTATTTCAGGTCTATTTGGTTTCTGGAGAAACGACAAGGGCGGCATTTGTGAATGCTCATGTGAGTCATCCCTGTCGTGAAGCCAGTGTGCCCAGAAAAGGGGATGGTTTCATCCCAGATCCTGCCAGGCCTGCCTGAGCCTATTGTCCACAGAGTGCAGAACCCAGTGAGACTGAGGATGCCAAGGTGCTGGTTGTGCCACCCAGTGAGTGCATCTCCCTGCATGGCCACTTGTGGGGCCTCAGGTCAGGTGGAGAATTTTATGGCAGTTGATTGCATGTTTAAATCTCCAGCATTTTAGATGTCGCTGGGATAGGGCTTCATATTACACTGAAAAGAGCCACTTTCCTTAGGTTACAATCTTAGACATGAGTTCTGATAGATCAGTGTCTATGTGTAATAATAACAATAATGATTTAAAATGATTGGGTTCTGCTTCTTTCATCTTTACAGCGGTAACCGGCCTCAGGAAGGAAGTCTGGTAACAGATATATCTATCTATATATAGATATAGATAGATATAATCTGATCCCTATACTCTAATAATCACTCAAAGTGGTCAAATAAAGTTCATCTTTTTGTGCAAGTGACCCTTTTTATTAGCAGGGAGGAAACATTGAAATAAGCTTCAACCTGTGGGAGTGAAGGGTCACTCCTTGTATAAGGGGTTAGATTGCTAAGATTTCAAGTCCTTTTCCACCCTTTTAATCAGGACCATGCTAAAAGACAAATCTTTCTGTATTTCTTTTTTTTTTTTTTTTTTTTTTTTTTTTTTACTCACTATGTAGTTGAGACTGACCTGGAACTCACTATGTAGCCCAGGCTGGTCTCGAACTCACAGTGATCCTCCTGCCTCAGCCTCCTGAGTGCTGGAATTACAGGCGTGCACTGCCACGCCTGGCTTCTTTCTGTATTTCTGAGCCTGGATTGACCTACCTGCGAGATTGGAATATCATGTCTGACTCAGATCACAAAAAGGATCTTGACCAACCACTGTCCATCCCTTCACCCAACAAGTGAAGAAATGAGTCCCTACTGGCTTCAGAGATTTCGGTGAAGTTGAATTAGGTGAATAAAAGACGCTTTGAAAAGTATAAAGTGCCCTCCAAGTAGAACAGTTATGTGGTTATGATTGTTCTGTGGTTTCGTCAGTGTTGGCTGAGCTTACTATGTAAATTATTCTCTTCTGCCTTTGGGACAGTATCACATCTACCAGGAGTACTGTTGTCAGATTTCTCAGTTTATATTTTGAATATCAGTATAAATGCCAACATAAACGAATTAGAGCCACATTTTAACATAAATATAAAAAATGTAAAAGTAGATGAAAAAAGCTGCCAAACCTTGTCTGTGTGTAGCATGAATCTGTCTAGATTTAAACATGAGACAGTCTAAACATCTAAGAATGTCTATGTATGCAATAAATGCATAAAATTATAGAGGGCCAGGGATTTAGCTCAGTGTTGTCGCCTCCTGCCTCGCAAGTGCAACGACATGAGTTTGATCCCCGGTACCCCCCCCCCAAATTATAGAAACCATGCACCAGCATCCTGGTTACGTCTTAGGAGTGACGGGGGACACATGACTTGGGGGGATGGATGAAGGGAACTTTAGTTTGGCAATATTTTCTACCTTAAAAAGTGATACGAATTAAACCACTTTCATGTTGGGAGGCAAAGAGAAACATGGGACTAATATTTTAATGAAAATTGAATGAACCAAAGAAAAACAAAGGACAAATATGTCTTTAAAAAAATAAAACAGATGGAAACAGCTATGTGACTATTAACTAGATTCTGTTTAAAGATACCTGTCAGCTTCCATTGGCCCAAGGCTGTGGTTTGGGCTATAAAATCTATTTCCCACGACAGGTGCTGACACATTCTTTGCCTCTGCTCTCCTTACATAGGCTACACCTTGAAAACCTTAGGTTGTGCCACTTGGATCAGATGTGCTCTCCTCTCTTCTGAAGGGACCTGATGGGTAAAATGCCCTTTGTTAATCAACTCACCTGTTCTAGTACACTGATCCTCTGGATAATGACAACCCTTCTAGACGTGGCTAAGTGCTCAGCTTCAAACCCTACCCTTTGGAGACAGCAGGAGAACACCTCTAAAGGAGGGGCCATTGCACAACTATACCAGCTTCCAGGCTGCCCTGAGCCCGGGCGTTAGAAATGGGGCAGGGAGGGACAGTGGGAAGGAGCACCAGTGGGGTCCTTGCAACATCTGTTCAGCCCTGGGTTCCCTGTGGTCTCCTGGGAAGGAGTGAAGCCTCATCTCTTCTTGTACCATAGAAATACTACCTGCATTATCTCATCCATATTCCTAGATGAATGTGCAGATAGCTTGGAAGTCATCTGGGACAAAAAGAATGCCTTGCATATCTGTTTCTTCTCCTGGGTTGCCTTGTTAGAAGGACTACTTATGCTTTCTTCTAGGGGTAAAGCCCTTTCTGTCTAAGCAATTGCTAGCCTTGATTCACCAAAGTGAGCAAAAACTAAACTGGCTTTGGGAACAAATCTCTTCAGTTCTGAGAACAGCTGAGCTGTGGTACAGAAGGAGGCAGTGCCACAAAGGCACTAGCAGGACAGAACCTCGCCCTCTGGGCAACCCTGTTCTTCCTGGAATGGCCTGGAAAGTTTTTCTAGACCTTGGAGTCTCTGGCTTTTCTCTTTTCTCCATCACAGTACTGCCTGGCATTGACAGCTAGGCCAAGCTATGTTGGTGTGAAAGCCTTGTGATCTCTGGCAGTTTGAATGGAGATGTGTCTTACGTTGGTCCAGTCTAATCAGTGTGACTTTCCAAAGCCTAAGGTCTCCAAACTATGAACAAAGGAAGGAAAGATTCATGAAAGACCCCCACTCCTGCACCTTTCTCATTTAGAAACAAATTTATTTCCCAGCAGATGCCCTCCAGGTGTGTGGTTCTTATGAATACAGATTTTGGAGCCGGTGGACAATTCACTCCTGAACTCTGAGCCAGGATGTATTGTTAGTTTGTCTGTCTTTACGCCAACTGATCAACAAAGACAACTTCAACTGCTTCTGCATGTTTGAAACCTGAAGCTGCTGCACTGGGAACAAAGCAATTGAGACAAGACAAGAAGGAACGTTTACTTACTCATTGGTCCATTTTCCCACTTATTTCTACTCATTCTTTTCTTTTCTTTCTTTAACCCGTTGTTTAATTTTAAGTTTTTTGGTTGATGCTAAGGATAAGAGGAAACATAAAAACATATCTTGGCCCTGAAGGATTTCAGTCTGTTTCTCAGGGAGCAAGATAGGAAAAACTATGCATCTAACGATGTACAGATTAGGAGCATGCAATGGCCTACAGTCACAGGATGGTCCCCAGTGGGATGGTGCCAGGAGGTAGGGCTTTGGGGAGGGATGAGATGGTAAGGGTGAAGCCCTCATGAGTAGGATCAGCGCCCCTATAAAAGAGACCTCAGAGAACTGCCCTGCCCCTTCTGCAGAACACATTCATTCATGGAAATAAATATTGACTATGATGTTTGGGTAACTAGGCCAGCCTACAATAAGATAGTCCTTTCCATTCAAGAAACATTTAATTGATATTAGTTGTTTAGTTGTTAACTGATGTTAAATGTTTAATTGACGCTAACAGACTGCCTGTGATGAAGCACACACAGACTCTGCTAGGTTCTGTCCAGGTAACAGGGCTTAAAATGGAGAACAGTGGCTGTTAGGGGCAGACACAAGGGCTGTGCTCAGGGCTGCAGAGAAAATTGTGAGAGTCAGTGACCACATCCCACCTGGAGCTGTAACGCAGTTGAAGAAACACGACTTGACCTGATTGCATGTACTCAGGATTAAACACAGTACAGTTAAAAATATGCGCTGATACCAATTAAACAGGAGGAGGATTGGGGACATGATTGGAAAGTTTTATATAGATGTTAAAGGTGCTTCTATTACTTGAAAGGGCTGTGAAAGTTTCTGTAAATGGGTTATTTCTCAAATTTGCCTTAAAAATAAAAGGTATAAGGGAAAGGAAACAAATAGGAGAAAATGAAAAAATGGAAATAAAATGTTTGTAAATGGGGAGGGGAGGAGGGGGTGAAGGGAGGGCAGGGACATGGGGAAATAATGAGAACCGAGACCTGTCATGTAAAGGTACAAGAGCCCAACGATGAATGCAACTGTACTGTGTACCTAAAATGTACCAATAAACGCAATGAGGAAAATACAAGTGGTTCCTTTTCCTCGACACAAGTATACTCCCAGAACTACTAG